GGAGGCCTGCGCGGGCGCGCAGCGGCGGCCGTGCCCGCCCCGCGGCGGCCTGCGCTTGGGAACTGAAAGAAGGGGATGGCCGCGGGGTGCGGCGGACACCCCCTTCTAACCCCCGCACTGCTCGGAGGACGGCCCTCCCTAAGGGGAAACCGCCTGCAAAACCCTCCGCAGCATCCCTCGGGGGGGCGCAGGAAGATGGATGCGCAGGTAAAAAGGTCACATGGCAGCATTTAGCCTGTTATTATGTTAAGCTTTTCTTTTTTTTTTTTTCCCCTCTTGAACAAGTACTTCCACTGTGAGTTTCAGGGACGCTGGCATCACGCTCTTGGGGAAAAAAACAATACATATTGCCAGAAGACATCCTGAATTGGACCCTATGGCTTTAAATACTCTATTGCAAAACGCACTCGAGTTAGAGCAAGAAGGAATAAAGCTCTAGAATAATATACACTTCTTTTGCCTCCAGATGTGTTCTTTCAATCTCAAGGCTTCTCAATCGTTTTGGGGTTTTTTTTCCTAGACAAAATTAGAAAATTCAACAGTTTTGCAGGGGTTTTTTTCCTCCGTGAAGTAGGGTCCTGGAAAGCATTTGACAACAAACACTAGCTTCTGTCATCAGAAAATGCTTCCTCTGTATCTCACACTGCAGATAGTTTGATTGCTGACAGTCCATCCATTGGACGCTATCTGCTGCGTCAGGGAGATGAGCAAACCAAAAACCATGGTGAGATTACAGAGTCCAGAATATTGTTCTCTTCGTCCCGACTGCTCGATCCGCACGGAAGGCGACTACTTCATGGGAACCTGATAACCCACTCCCACGTGCAACTTCTGCATGCCAGATGAATCCTACCACTAGTATCCTGAAGACCTGAACCTAGTATGTCAAGACCTACAGCCCAATAACACGTACATTTGATTTTAAGGGAAATTTTGACAAATGTTAAGAAAGGCAATGGATTTAAGTCACTGAAAGAGACAAGGTAATGGACAAATCTTATAAATCAAAAGGGAAGAAACAAAGAGCCAGCTTCCAGCCCCCCACTGTTCACGTGAGTGGGCACAAGGGCAGCCCCGTGCCTTCCCCAGAGACTACTCCCAGCTAGAGTCACAAACGAAAATAATCTCTTCAGAGGGTCAGGCATGATGAGAGGCTTCTCACAAATCCCGGCTGACAGCAGTCAGTGTGTTACTGATGGTAAATCCTACATTTTGGGGAAATTAGTTGTAATTCTTCGAAAACTTGGAGAATGTGCTTAGAATTGATAATAAGAATGCAGTCAATGGACTGAGATAAATACATTATGACTGGACTTATTTCTCTCCAAGATATATGTCTAAGGTAAGAGGGCTGGAATACCCTGTTGTGCACTAGGGCTGTAACCTATGACTCACTGATAATTCTCACAGGTCTCTGCCTAGGCTGCTGTACAGTTCCTCACAGCTAGATCTTACAATATCTCAAGGCAAAGAACTGAGCATTGGAAACCTCAGACATGATTTTTAAATTTACAGGCACTAGATACTCATTCAGGTTTTTGTGGTTTTTTCTTAATTTTGCCTTTGAATCAAAATGTTTTCATTTTGTCAGTTACCAGACAGACCACTGCTCCATTTCAACTCTCTTGTTCAGCTAATTAATTTAATATCAAACATGGACTTCTGAGTTTTTGTTACCTGTTTTAGATGCCTGGGAAGGCAACGAAAAGTATCTTACCTTCTAACACAATAAGGGAAAAAGGACCAATGAGAACAGTATTTCCTACCTCAGACCTGTTCAATAACAGAGCAGCTGCAATCATATTCGGGTGTTTCTTCTTCCTTTAATCTAGTCATCGGTATTGCTATGAAATACCACCCACATGTTCATGTTTATAGCCCTGGCTTGCCCGACAACAGTTCAGCTGGAGGAGGGAGCGCTTGTGGCTGGGCTCCCCTCCCAGCCTGGCAGGCAGCTGTTCTGATGACTGACCACACGAGGCCTCCCTTTCCCAAAAATACGATGCAAAGTACCTTCTCGCTCCAGATGCTGAAGAAGAAAAGGGGCCGGTGCCTTTGTCCTCAGGACAAGCACCTATCCATCCACCTATGTTTGCTCCCAAGCCCCTCTACCTTCTCATACATGAAGAAAAGCAATCTAAAGGGCCAGATGATTAAAAAGCTCAGAGCATCCTGGAAAACCTTGTTCCACATGCATTTACATAAAGCTTTACACAACTGAAATGAAAGTTAGTCTCTGTGAAGGTACCTTCTAATGTGTAAATGTCATGAATACAAAAGCAGCGCAAGGCACAAAGCCACACAACTGCAAATCTGACCGGCATCTTGGCATGTTGCCATTGCAAGCAGACTGCTAGCACTGTGTGATAGATCATTTTTCTTACCATACTGATAGTCTTGCCCTGTTTCTCTACGGTGGCCTTTCTTGGGCCTTTGTTAGCATCCTGTACATGTTTGCAAAAATATATATATATACGCCCCTCTAAAAGTTTTTTTTAATGCACATATTTTTACATCATGGCAAGAAAATAACATTTACAGGTAATACTAATAGATAAGCAGTACCAAAATCAACTTAATAAGCACATGTATAAATCAGGTCAAAGATCTGGAAATCGGTATTCTGGTAATCAGTTTTCTCCCTTATTTCACCACTCACTCCATGATATTGTCAGGAAATATCTAGGCCAGATGTGCCATTAAAGTGATTGATGCAAGTAAAAAACTACAATTTCTTTCCTAACAGATCAATTCTTTGCATATACTGACAGCCAAGTTTGATTAGATTACAGAGGGAAAAAAAATCTTTTGCTTTTTTCTATGCAGCCAGAGCCATTATAGCTGAAAATTAGCTGGATTCTGTGTATGCATCATTAACAAATGCATTGGTTCAGTTCCAAGTGCAGAACTGGCCTCACTGACAGTGGTGCAGGAGTTAATACTGGTTGGGAAAGTAAGACGGGTTATATTCCGGACCTTCTGTTATTGGCTAAATTTCAGATGCAGATGCTGCATTACTGGAGATGACATGAGTCAAAAGAACATAGCATTGAATTCAGATACACACGTGAAGATTTAATATTGACACAAGAACTGTCTTTAATATGACTGATGAATTAGATATGCAACTCTTTAGAAACAGCGATAGCAAAGTTACATCTTGACAGTCACAGCTGAGACTATCTGTGCCCTAATTTAACTGTGTATAAAACCATGGAGGGATGCCAACCTAAGTAATTCTAGATAGCTGATGCATATTCTCAAGAAATATAATTACTGATTTACCATTTTACATCCAACAAAATCCACCTATTAATAGAACTTACTTATCATAGAATCATGGAGTGGTTTGGGTTGGAAGGGACCTTAAAGATCACCTAGTTCCAAATTCCCTGCCATGGGCAGAGACACCTTCCACTAGACCAGGTTGCTCAAAGCCCCATCCAACCTGGCCTTGAACACTTCCAGGGATGCAGCATCCACAACTTCTCTGGGCAACCTGTTTCAGTGCCTCACCACCCTTACAGTAAAGAATTTCTTCCTTACCTCTAATCTAAATCTGCCCTCTTTCAGTTTAAAACCATTACCCCTTATCCTATCACTACACTCCCCCATAGAGTCCCTCCCCATCTTTCCTGTAGGCCTCCTTTAAGCACTGGAAGGCTGCTATAAGGTCTCCCCTGAGCCTTCTCTTCTCCAGGCTGAACAACCTCACCTCTCTCAGCCTGTCCTCATAGGGGAGGTGCTCCAGCCCTCTGATCATCTTCGTGGCCCTCCTCTGGACCTGCTCCAACAGGTCCATGTCTTTCTTATGTTTGAGGCCTCAGAGCTGAATGCAGTACTCCAGGTGAGATCTCACAAGAGTGGAGTAGAGGGGGAGAATCACCTCCCTGGACCTGCTGGTCATGTTTCTTTTGATGCAGCCCAGGATTCGGCTGGATTTCTGGGCTGCAAACTCACATTGCTAGGTCATGTTGAGCTTCTCGTCATCCAACACCCCCAAGTCCTTCTCCTCAGGGCTGCCCTTGATCTACTCATCACCCAGCCTGTATTTGTGCTTGGGATTTCCCCAACCCATGTGCAGGACCTTGCACTTGGCCTTGTTGAACTTCATGAAGTTCACACAGGCCCACCTCTCAAGCCTGTCAAGGTCCCTCTGGACAACATCCCTTACCTCCAGCATGTCGACTACGCCACACAGCTTGGTGTTGTCGGCAAACTTGCTGAGAGTGCACCCAATCTCACTGTCCATGTCGCCAACAAAGATGTTAAATAGCACTGGTCCCAACACTGACCCCTGAGGAACACCACTTATCACTGCTCTCCATCTGGACATCAAGCCGTCGACCCCAACTCTTTTAGTGCGACCATCCAGCCAATTCCTTATCCAGCGAGTGGTCCATCCGTCAAATCCATGTCTCTCCAACTTAGAGACAAGGATGTCATGCAGGACAGCTTCAAATGCTTTGCATGAGTCCAGGTAGATGACGTCTGTTCCTCTTCCCTTATCCACCAACACTGTAACGCCATCGTAGAAGGCCACCAAATTCATCAGGCACTATTTGCCCTTAGTGAAGCCATGTTGGCTGTCACCAATCACCTCCTTATTTTCCATGTACCCTAGTGTAGTTTCCAGGAGGATCCACTCCATGATCTTGCCAGGCACAGAGGTGAGACTGACTGGCCTGTAGCTCCCCAGGTCTTTCTTCTTTCCCTTTTTAAAAATGGGGGTTATGTTTCCCCTTTTCTAGTCAGTGGGAACTTCACCAGACTGCCACAACTTCTCAGATACGATGGTTAGGGGCTTAGCCATTTCGTCTGCCAGTTCCTTCAGGACCCACACGGAGGCATCTCATCAGGTCCCATGGACTTGTGCACCTTCAGGTTCCTCAGATGGTCTCAAACCTGATCTTCTCCCACAGTGGGCAGCTCTTCATTCTGCCAGTCCCTACCTTTGCCTTCTGCAACTTGGGCGGTATGAC